CCCAAACCCCATACAATGACTTGGTTTCTATGGGGAATAGAGCAGAAGGCTACATCCCATGTCATACTTTACCCCTAATCTTCACAAATGTCCCCTTTGAGTATCTGGGCCATTTTTCATCAATGTTCTACTCTGGAAGGCACCCACCGCATCTCAACCTCCCTTGTCCTCTCAAACTCGCCTCTGCCTGGCCTCCCTGGCTCCCTGCCTCTCACCTGCCACCGACAACTCCCCCCCCCATCTTCTCTGCCACACACCCCACTCCCCCATGATAAATCTTGATTAACTATTCCGATTCAAACTACAATTCCGCACCCGACTCTGATGCATGGGCTCTTCCCCCCACACCGCCGAGCAAGCGTGCAACACCAGTTGGGTATCTTTCCATTCAATTCTGACACTGTCTACCCAGAAATAGTGTCAGATCCCACAGGTAATTGACCCAGACTGCCTTTCGCATCAGATGCCAAAGCAAGTCTTGGCTGTCACCTGTGCCCCTAACAGTCTGGCTGTAAAGGAGAAGCTCCTCCTCAGGGGGCACCTCACAGTGTACCTCCTAGATCGTCAGTTTATTATAAAAGGACAGAACGCAGGGACAGCCAGGTGGAAGAGATGCCTCAGGCAAGGTGCGTGCGAAGGGGCCCAGAGCTTCCACGCTGACTCGGACTCTGGACGGTTCACATTCTTCCGGCATCTCCACGCACTCACTAACCTGGAAGCTCTCAAAGGCCTTCATTTTAGGTTTTTATGGGGGCTTCACTCTATAGTCATGATGGATTAGCTCCTGGGCCATTGGTGACTGATTCAGCCTCCAGCCTCACTTTCCTTCCTTGAGGTGAGGGTGAAAGTTCAAACCCTCTGATCCTCCCATTGGTTCCCCTGGCAACAAGCCCTTCCTTTGGGAAACCGAGAGCTTTCCAAAAGTCACTCATTAACATGACAAAAGACACCTGCACCACTCCCAGCACAGGAAATTGCAGTGTTTTTAGGAGTTCTGTGCCAGAGAAGGGACTAAGACCAAATATGTATTTATCCTAGACCGCAATATCGTACTCATTCATCATCATCTCTAACGCGTTTTCCAGAAGGCAGAAATTCCTCCTGGCACACCTACTTCCACAGAGATACGGTTTTCTAAAATTTAAAAAAAAAAAAAAAAAGCTCTTACCCATAGGAGTCAATAGGAACTGGTGAGCTTCCCTCACCTCCCTGTCTGAAGGGCGACACACCCTGTTATTCCAGGAGTAAAATGTCACCCCTATATCCTCTCCACTCCCTGTCCAAGCTCAAGCTCTTACTATGTCTTCCCCGCAGAGGCCACTTTTAGGCCACAGATGTGAGCCCTGGAAACTTGATCAAGGCCAAAGGGCCCCCAGGAACCCCCAGCTGAGAGCAAATAGGCTCATTAAGTGACCCACCTGGAAATAGCCACCCTCACTGACCAATTACAACCGGGCACAGTTCCTAGGATTACCAAACAGGGAAAGTGGTGTGCATTCCCACGCCCCTATAGCCACGGCCCCTCACCACCGCCTGCAGACAGCCTCTCCATCCCCACCACTTGCAGGAGGTGCGTTCAGTGCTGGCCCCCTTGTTCTGCCTTGGGTGAATTCTTTCACCACCTGCACCACTGGCTTCCCCGCAGTCCGTCACCCCACATTTGGGGAGCCCCCCCTCCGGTAGATACACCACCTTACCTGGATTATCTGATATTCTCCTCCCCTGACTTGTAACCTTTCCTCCGGTGTCCACCAGAGCTCAAACCCTCATCTGATCACATGGCTCCCATGCTCAAAACTTCCCCCCTCTCCCCTGCACCGTCCAGGAGCACTCTGCTTCATGCCCTCCCATCTCTCCCCTGGGCCAAAACTAAGACTCCTAACTTGTCCCTGCTCTGCCCCCACCCCATCCCCATCTGTTCTCAGCACACTAACCAGAGTAGCTCCTTAAAAAGCTCAGTCAAAGCTTGTGTCTGCTTTTTTTTTTCTTTTTAAGATTTTATCCATTTATTCATGAGAGACACACAGAGAAGCAGAGACAAAGGCAGAGGAGAAACAGGCTCCCTGTGTGGAACCCCATGTGGGTCTCGGTTCCTGGATCAGGACCTGAGCCAAAGGCAGACCCTCAACCACTGAGCCACCAGGCGACCAGCATGCATCTCCTTTGGCCCCTCCCTCAAGGGTCCCCAGCTCTCTCAAAGGAAAAGCCCAAACGTCTTTCAAAAGGCTTGGAATGCCCCCTGAGTGCTGACCCCTCCCAGTGCCTCTCTAATCCCACTCCCCTCTCTGCTTGCTGTGATCTGAAACACTGGTCTCCTGGTCCTTCACCGAACCTCCGCACACCCCTGCCCAGGGCTCCAGAGCTGCGTTTTCTGCCCCGGGTTGTTCTTCCCTCCGATCCGAATCTGCCTGGCATGTTTCCTCCTCTCCTTAAATTCTCTGCCCCAACTCACCTTATCTATATAAAATAGAGGCCGCCTCGCATAAATCCGACCTGCTCCCCTGTTTTTTCTCCCGACATTTCTCACCCTCTGAAAAAACATATTTATTTGTGCACTGTCTGGCTCCTCTCCCTAAAATGGAAACTCAATGGGGACAGGTCTTTTTTTGTTTTCCTTGTCTACAGGTGTATCCCATCACCTGAACGGTGCCTAGTTCATAGTAGAGGCTGAATAAATTCTCGTTAGATAAATGAATAAATTGCCCGATTGAAGTCATTCTACTTCATGCTACTTGTGGCCCAACACAAAGGCCACCTTTTCCTTTGGTGGGGTATTGTTTGCTCCTGTCCAAACCAGCCTCTTGTATTCACGTGGCTGTCTGTCTCTGCCTCTGCCCCCACTGGAGGGCTTATGGGGAGCTGAATTCCGCTTGGGTTCAGCCTACACACACACACACACACACACACACACACACACACACACACACACACACACACGGAGGTGCTCCAGAAGGTAAATGAACTTCTTGCATGAGAGGGAGCCTCTCTCTCAGAGAGGGAAGAAAAATGCGCATAGTCTTGCACCTCGAAGGCAGAAACCCAGAATTCTACTCCTCTTGACTCCAAAGGTTCCCAAGTCTCCTTTCCACTAACCCTCACTGCCTTTCAAATACAAATAGGAATGTTCTCACTGCCCAACCAGAAGAATTTTGGGGGCAGATAATTAACCGGGATCAAATTAAGGCTTTAGTAATAGAGAAACCGACACCACCTCCATATCATCTTCAATTAAGTCTGGGCATCCTTAGGCTTTTGAACCTTTTTTTTTTTTTTTGAGACTCTTGAGCATTTCGAAGTAAAAATAAATTCCAGCTTCACACACACACACACACACACACACACACACACACACTTTCTACTCTCTAAAATAATGAAACACCCAATACAATGAGTACAGTTTTTAATTTTGGTATAATAATGCTCTTCCGGAGAATTATTTTAAAAGACAAGAAGAAAGAAGAGAGGGGCAGAGGGGCGGGAGGGGCAGAGAGGGAAAGAGAGAAGAAAAAAGAGAAATTGTTGTCACTCTTCCTTCATAAGTGCTCCCCCAAATGGCCCCGGCAGGTTCAGGGTGAGATAGGAGGTAAGAGGGCTGAATGGGAGTAGAGAAGCATCTCTCTCCACCTTGCATCTGACGGACCGACGCACTGCAAATAATGATCCACTTCCCTCCCACCAGCACTTCCTAGGCCACTGGGTTTCTGCTTTTATTCGCGTGTCCAGAACTGAAGTAAAAAGGTAGGCCAACCCCTCCTTACCTCCCTTCCCACCTGGACCTTCCCTTCCTCCTATCAGAGGCTGTCACTGCCCGGATGACCCGGGCAAGCTAGGAAAGCTACTTCCTAGTCTAAAGCCTACCCATTTTCATAATAATGAAGATCACTGTCCCTTGCATACCATGTCCATAATTATTCCCATGGTAGTCTAATAAGAGTTTATAAGGGGTTAATTAGCTGTTGGTAGCGTACTTGAAGATACAGAGGCAGAGACCTACATCTCCTCAGCAGGTGGCGCTCAGATTTTATGACCCGTGGCCTGGGTACCTTCCACACTAGGGGAAATAGTCAAATAGTCGGAGAAGTGTACATTAATTTCTTAACAGAGGTGGTTGTACCTGAATGTTCAAACATGCATGTTTGCATCCATAATAGTACTACCTAGAATTTCGAGAGAAGTATGGATTAGAATCCCTTTTATTAAAAACCCCTTCAAAGCCAAATTTAAAAGGAATCACATTTATGCCCAATTAATAAGATCCGTACTTATCAAACACTTCTTTTATAAGACAACAAGGTAATATTACCTCTGGAGCCCAGGGCTAGTAGCTCAAAACTCTAAGTGTGGTTGTGCCAATCTACATCCCCGCCCTCTCTAGAACTTAATTTCCCAGAACTCCCAGGCTCGACCAGCAATAAAATTGTAAGTTTTGCAAATAAATTGTGTTAGCCCAATCCGGAAGGCAAAGCCGATGGTTTATTTCAGCCCTTCCCTCTCTCATGCTGGCTAAACAAAAAGTTGACTTGACAACATAGTCAGTCTACCACTCCCTCTTCTCTTCCTGTGGTCTAACCAGTAAACATTTTGACAAGGACCAAGCTCTCACTCTTCTCCCGGGGGATTCTGGTATTTAACACTTGTCTCAACTTGTCCTTATTAAATTTCTGACGTGTCCCAGTTCACTGAGACACATTTGTTCTCTCCCTCCCTTCTACCTGCCTAAGCATTAATGGAGCGTATTAACTTCTCAGGTTAGCAATATTATCTTCCGAGGCAGTCAAGCAAACAGGTTAAGGTAGAAGCACGGCGATTTCTCATGAGACACACACACATATTAGTGTAAGGGATTCTGAGTCACAGCCCCTTCACGACTGACCACGCTGCGATTTCATGTCACCACTCTGGAAACCAATGAAAGGACAGGACGATTGCAAATTGGTTTTATTTTTACTCTGGAGTGAGATCAGTTAAGAATGAGGGGTGATGGGGGGCGCCTGGGTGGCTCAGTCGGTTAAGCACCTGCCTATGGCTCAGATCAGGGTCCCGGGATCGAGCCTCACATCCGTCTTCCTGCTCAGCAGAGTCGGCTTCTCCTTCTCCCTCTGCTGCTCCCCTTGCTTGTGCTCTCACTCTCTCTGTCTCTCTTAAAAATCTTAAAAAATTAAAATAAAATTAAATAAATTAAAATTAAAAAAAAATTTAATGGGGGGTAAGTATTGAGGTAAACCTTGTACCTAAATATGGACTTGGATGGAATGCAAGTGAATTCCCACTCTCCTGGCCTTGTCTCTCCCGTCAGTGCCAGAAACAGCTCTATCTCCTCGTGGCCGCTAACACCCATTTTCCATCTTGCATTTCCTCTTCTCTGGGGCCCATGCTAGAAGACAACGCAAGCTCACTGCTTTTTCACCATCTTCTTGCCTCTAAAACAAATGAAACGCTTGGGAGGTTTTTAATACTGCAAAGGGAAACTGAATCTTCAGAAAAACAAGAGCAGGCAGGGGGCTGCAATATGTCCTGAAAGTGTTAGCGTCATATTTGGTCCCATAACGCCTCGTAATCTAAATAGATCAGGAGTGATTTCTCTTAGCTCTTGCTTTATTCTTCTCTTGCCTCTTCTTGGGATCTGAGCTGCAACCAAACATCCCTTTTAATTCAGGGGCTGATACTACTTGGTCTCTCCTCCTTCCGTCAGCAGACTTACTCCCTGATTCTCTAAATCTATCTTGCAAATAACCCTGTACAGGAGAGACGCAAAAAGGAAAAAGATATAGCCTTACATTGCATGGTGGAAGCAGGAGCATCGGCTTGCATCCTTCATCATTTTTATACCCGCCTCGTACACTATGATGTTGTAGGTGCTGAGGACCAACATCCTATCACCATTTCCCCCATTCTGCTGTTGAGGAAGCTGAGATTCAAGAGAATCAGATGATTCGCCCAAGGTCACATGGCTATTCAGTGATAAGTGTAGGACTTTCTTTTTTTTTTTTTTTTAAGATTTTATTTATTTGTTAATGAGAGGCACAGAGAGAGAGAGGCAGAGACACAGGCAGAGAGAGAAGCAGGCTCCATGCAGGGAGCCCGACGTGGGACTGGATCTCGGGTCTCTAGGATCATGCCCTGGGCCGAAGGCGGCGCTAAACTGCTGAGCCACCACGGCTGCCCAGAGTAGGACTTTCTAATAGAAAGTTCCCGACATCTCAGAGAAAACTTCAGACTGCCTCGGTCCCAGAACAGTCCAACTTCTGCTACGAAGAATTGCAGCTACTTAAACAAATCAAGTGCTTTCTTCTTGACAAAGTGACATGGAAGGAGGGAGGGACAAAGGACAAGGGGAGGCGGAGTGGGATAGTGGGACTGAGGCATTGCTCACAGGCTGCCTCTGTGTAGATTTAATCCCTTTAGGAGCCACGGGGCTAGCAAGAAGTCTCCTTTAAAAACAGAATTACCTTCCGGGAAGATCAAGCCTCTTTCAGAGATACCCGGACAAGCCAGATAAACTATGGGAGTCACCGGGTGTGGCAATTCAAGTGTAGAATGTTTAACCACAAGTCAAGAAGTCTTTAAAAATAAGGTGTTCATGGGGTGCCTGGGTGGCTCAGTGGGTTAGGCGCCTGCCTCTGGCTCAGGTCATGATCCCAGGGTCCTGGGATCCAGCTCCACCTCGGAGCCCTGCTCAGCAGGGAGTCTACTTCTACTTCTACTCCCCAGCCCCACCCCGCTCATGCTCTCCCTCACGTACGTGCTTGCTCTCTCTCAAATAAATAAATCTTTTTTTTAAAAAAAAAAAGGTGTTCTTTATACAAGCGCATATCGTACATCAGTGGAAATGAATTAGCACACAACTACATAAATAAATTGTGCAAACAAAAGAGCAAATGAAAGAACTCAGACACGAAGGAATGCGTATCACATGATTCCATTTTCTAAAGCTCAAAAACAGGCACATCTAATCCGTGCTGTTTTAAGCCAGTGGAGACAGAGGTAAGGAGGTAGGAAAGCAAAATTTAGGTGTCGCCTACTTCTTTTGCTTCCGGAACCTCAAGTAGGGGCCCTAGGCCCCAGAGTCCGACAGACCTGGGTTCAAATCCTGATTCTGCAACTGAGTGACTTTGAACAAGTAACTTAAATTCCCTGTGCCTCAGGTTTTTCCATCTATAAAATAGAACTAATAATACCTTCTTCAAAGGGTTGGTGTGAGAAGTAAATGAAATGATGTATGTGAAGTGCCCTGGCAGCATGCGTAGGTGCAGTAATAAATGGGAACTATGATCATCCCCACCCCTGTTGCCTGATGGTAAATCAGGATCAGAGAACAGATAGGTAAGAGCCCAGCGGAGAAGGAAAGGGAAGGACCAAATTAGCCTTGTGATCAAAGATGTACGGAATTCACCCGAATGCATTCAGAGAGAGCTGTTCTTTCGCTTCCCACTGCCCACGCAGTCTTCTGGCTTGTGCTGCCTACAAGTGCAGGCCAGCCCAAAGCAGCCAAAACAAAGCTGTTCGGTCCCATCCACACAGGCCCTTGCTAAGGACCTGATACTCATCTGATAAACCAATTTGCACTGACGCTCTCACAGGGTTGCTGGCAGCTTACTGGGTTACCCTGCTGATTGGGCTGTGTTTCAATCAGAACCTTATGGACATAACAAGGCCTTGATCTAGGCTGGGTGAAATTTTACCCAGTCCCAGATCAGCAAATAGCCAGGTGGGGCTCTTTGGGGGAGGGGGAATCGGGACAGGCAGGGGATGGGACAACACAAGCAGAATGGTGTTAAGGTCCAGACTGCAGGATCCAGCCAGAACCCAGGAAGTCTGAAGTTGTAGGGATGCACAGGCTTTCCTTGCTTCTTGACTACAGAATGAGAACTGGTCCAGACAACTTGGGTTCATTCTCTCCACCTAAGAGGGAAAACAGGTATCCCTCTGGGAAGCCTCGTCAGCTAAGGGGCCTCTAGTGCTGGGGAAACAGAGTAGAGGAAGACTTTCAGGTTTGATTTTTGTGTTGTTAAATGAGGCCTTAGGGCATCCACACAGGGAATACCGGTCAACAACCAGAAGGAGCAAACTGCTGACGCCCAGAACATGCGTGGACCTCAGGGGCGTCATACTGAAAGGATAAAGCGAGATTCAAGACTACAGGAAGTTCTGGCCCCAGGAGGAACACCTATCGACGCTGAAGGAAGCCTGGGGCTGAGGTGGGCTTGACTGCAAAGGGCATGAGGGACCGTTTCTGGATGATGAAAGCCTTCTGGATCTTGACTGAGGCAGCGGCTCTGAGGGTGTACGCCTTTTTCAGAATCCATTGAACTGTACACTTAGAGGGAGTGCAATTCACTTTATGCAAATTATCCCTCAATAAAGTTGCTTTTAAAAGAAAAAAAAAAAAAACGTTGATGCCTTAGTCACTGAGATTGTTCCACTCCAGATGTGCCCTGAGAGGCCTGCAGGAGAACCTCGGCAAGCCACACCTCCAACAATCTCCTAGCACAAAAGCGGAATACTTTCTCCTCTTTTGAGCATCACATCTACCTCTTGAGGTGGGTTGGAGGAATCCCCCGGTTATAGCTAAGGAGACAGAGATACAGAATTAGAGCTGGCCTGTGTCTTCTGACTCCAAATCCTGCCATCTTTCCTGGAACCAGCCTCCCGAGATCACCCGAATCTAAGGAAGCTAAGGTCCAGAGAGTGTAAGTAGCTTGGCAAAAGCAGCACCGCTAGGCAAGGGCTGAGGCCAAAATCAAAGTCGTGCCTTGTCCCCCACAAATGGAATGAGGAATTGTCAAACGGGGACCATCCGGAATGGAGGTAGAAGGTGGGCTTTCGTTCCCCTTCTGCATCACTTCCAGACCCTGGACAGAGAAGCAAGCAATCTTAAAACAAAAGCCAGGTTCCTTTCCAGCCCTCTCCACACCACCTCTCACTGCATGGAGCAGCCCCCACCCCACCCCCTTCAGTCCCAAGGGTCTTGTAACTTTAACAAACTACAGCAAGGAACACATGCATTACCTCACCACAGTCTGGCTTATTTCCTAGCAGCAATTGTCCAAAGCTTGCTCCATTTCCCCCCTTCTGTTGGCTGTGCACCCTTCGCCCATTCCTCCCTGCTGAAATCACAAAGCTCTGACCCCAGTGGGCCTGCAGGAGCCTCCGCCTCCTTCCCAAAGTACTTACCATTAGAAAGAAGGCCCCTGGTGCAGAACACAGCGTATCCGATGGCCCCTCTGTATACATTCTCACAGCAGGCTCCTGTGTGTGCTTAGGGAAAAAAACTCTGGGAGAACCTCAAGACACAATTGGTGGCAGTTAACTCTGGGGAGAGGACCTGGAGGGAGGAGTCTACTTTCCATTTGGTTTCTTTTCTGTTCAATGTGAATTTTCCCACCAACGGACATGGATTACATTTAGTGATGCCAACGAGGGTAGTCTGGATCGGGGAATGATAAGCCATTTCCTCCTTTCACGTATCTGTATAGAAAAGCAGAAAGCCTGAGAAGTATTAATTTTCGAAAATACAGTAAGCACCTGTAATGCGCCACCTGCCTTTCTCCACGGTCACTGAACCACAGTTTGTAGGATACAAAGACCATGAATCATTCACCCCAATGAGAGGGAGCCAGGAAGGGGTATAGGAAGGAGAGGCCCCGGGAGGGCAGCCTCCACCTTCCTCACCGGATGCATCACTCCCCTTTGAGCCACTGTCACCCCCCCCACACACACACACACCTGACACCTCAGCTGGGGTCTCCACCTGTCCTCATTCTTAGCTTTCCGCCCTAGTCCTCGGCACTGCTGCGACCCACAGCTTGTATAGGGCAGGGACTGTCTTACTCTTGGCCCATGCTCTCAGAGCTTGATGTGTGCAGAGTAGAAAGTGAATGAACAGTTGCTAAAATACCACGGAAGGCAGAGCATGGGAGGGGCGTGGGTTGTCTCCAACTGGACGGAGCTGGAGCAGGCTGGACCTGCGCCCTCCTCACACTTGCGCTCAGAACCCTGGCGGGGTCCTCTCCTTTGCTCTGTCAGGTGCACGGAAACGTGTTTACCAAGACCTCGTCTGCTCTGGCCACGCCTGCCTGTCCGCCCTGCTCCTAAGGCAAATCCTGTGCCCCAGCAGTCAAACTGGTCCATTCACCTGTCCCAGAGCGCACCTTGAGGCTCCCCGCCTCAGGCCCTCGCCTTTCCCAATCTCCGCCACCGCCGATAACCCAGCCACAGGGTCGCCCCCTTATGTGCCCCGCGGGCTGGGCTGGCCCCCAACCCCCCCCCCCCGTCCGTCCGTCCGTCCGTCCGGGAGCCCCCCTCCGAGCCTCCCCTTCTGCAGCTCGCAGCCCTGCCTTCCCGGGGGTCTGTCCCCCCTCGCGAAGACCTTTAAGGGGCGGAGAGATGCAGTTCAGGTCGGAGGTCGAATTAGGTTAAAGGCTGCATCAAGACTGGGTTGGGTTCAGGATTAGAATTCGAATTCGAAGCGGGTGAGTCAGTTCCTCATCCCACTCACTAGGCGGCGCCCGCAGTCCCGTTCCGGTCCCCAGGCCTCCGGCGTTTGAAGTTTACCACTACCTGTCTGGCGAGTTTCCTTACTGCGCCACTGTCCCTTTAAGAAGGTGAGCCAGGTGAGGCCGGGCCCCGCCCCCGGCGCTGGCCCCGCCCCCGGCGCTGGCCCCGCCCCCGCCCCCGCCCCCGCCCCGCTCGCGCAGCCCTCGCGACCTGACCCAGCCGGGGGCCGAGGTCCCAGGTCCCGGCCGGCGCCATGGAGCGGCGCTGGCCCCTGGGGCTCGGGCTGCTGCTGCTGCTCCGCGCCCCGCTGCCCCCGGGGGCGCGCGCCGAGGAAGGTACCGACCCCCGCCCCCGCGCCCGCCCCCGCGCCCGGGCCTCCCCGCGCCCCGCCAGCGCCCCGCCAGCGCCCCGGTGCGCCCCGGTGCGCCCCGGTGCGCCCCGCCGCCCGGCGACCGCCTGGCCCGGACCAGCCTCTGGTCTTCGACCCCCAGACCCTGCTCTCCCGGCTCAGGCGCCCCGTAACAGTTTGCACCTGGGGGGAGGGGGGAGGGAGCCCCTGACCGCTACGAGGAAGCAGCGCCCAGACCCCCACCCCAGCATCGTGGGGATCCCTCATTCCCAGCCAGGCTCGGCCTCCCGGGCCCAACCCAGAGGGCAGGGGTGCGAAGAGGCCTTAAGCCATCCTGGGCCCGAGGACACAGGGACCTGCCGCTGGGGGATGGATCAGAACTCGGGTGCAGGAGCTCCCAGATGTACAGGTCAAGCCTTGCCTGTGAAGGCTTTTGCGCACCCTTCCGTGGCCCTACTTCCAAGACCCAGAGCTGTGCCTTGTACCCTCACTGCACACCCCAGCCACAGGCTGAGCAGGCCCTTTGGCAGTAGAAGGGAACCTCCGCACCCACCCGTCTAGGGTCCCCTGCCCACACCCTACCCACTTATGACCCCCAGGGGCTGAGGTCCTCTCTTGCCCATCCACCCTTCGCATTGGGCTGATGCCTGGATGCCCCAGGTTGACCAGCCCCTGCCGAGTGACAGGGTGCAAGTCCTGTGTGGGGCTGCTCTGCCCAACACTTCCTGCCTTGACTTTGGTCAAAGATCCAGCCCTCCAACCCTTGCCCGGCGCTGCCGTCCTCCTTTCACGCTCTGGAGGAAGACAGACTAATCCCCAGAGCTCTTCACTCCTCCTTCCTGGGCTAAACCTCGGAAGTCACACAGGATGTGGGAGGCTTGGGGCTGGGGGCCCACGGGGTGGGGGGGGGAATGTGGGTCACACGTGTGGGGCCTCTTCCCCCAGAGGTGACAGGCCCCTCTTCTCCCTCGTGCAGTCACTCTGATGGACACGAGCACAGCACAGGGCGAGCTGGGCTGGCTGCTGGACCCCCCGGAGGATGGGGTAAGTGTCAGGGGAGGGAAGGCTCAAAGCTGCAGGCCAGTGGGAAATGGGCGGAGAGGTGGGTGGAGGAACCGAGAAAAGAGCTGGAAAAACTGGAAGTGTCTCCTCCTCAGGGAGGGGGAGGGGAGGTGAGTCAGAGCCTCCAGAATGGGACAATGTGGGGGGGTCAGGCTTCACCCCATGAAGAACGCCTCAATGCCTGGCTCCTTCCCTCCCTGCCCCTGTGAAAGAGGGCTGAATACTTAGGAGGACTTGGGGGGAGATGAACCCACATCCTCCAGGGAGAGGATGAACCATCCTTGGGGTGGTTGAGGGCTGAGAACCAAAACACCAGATGTGTCCTCACACTGAGGTCCCTCTGTCCCAATAGAGTTGCACAGATAGGCTTCAGAGGGTCAGGGAGCCCCATAAAAGTGTAATGTAAGTTGTGTATACACACATGGAGACGAGAGCCAACGTTTTCATCAAACCCTTCGAAGGGTGTTTGCCTCCCCAACTAGAGGTCCCTGAGCCCCTGGCACCTTCTCCATCCTCCCCAGCCCAGGCACACGGTACGGTACGTCCAGCTGTCTGAACCTGCTCCGAGTCCCTTCCCACCCTGGGTGTTCTTAAGACCTAGTGAGCGGAGGTAGGCGCCTGTGAGTCCCAGAGAGCACCTTTCTGCCACTCAGCAGAGCCGGCCACAGACCCACGAGAGGCTGGCCTCAGGCCCTCCTTTCCCCTCTGGTCCTGGACCCCTTTCCCCTTCCTAGTCCAGTGGGAACTGCAATCTCTATTTCTGGGATCGGGGTCACTTGCTTTCTTTCCCTCTGGGTCCTAGGGTCCCGGCTCTAAGTTCTCCCACAGAGTGGCCTATAATTAGAATTAATAGACTAAACCATGCTGTATCCTACAGGAGGGGCTGCTTGGAAAATCCTGGGTTAGGCCAGCCGTAATAGGCGCCCCGTCTCGTAAAGCAGCTAATCACTCCACAGCGAGGGCCGCAGGTCCATTCGCTGGCTCCCACAGGCCTCCACCCCCGGTGTGCCCCAGCCACCCCGACCCAAATAACTTCCCTAATTGGGCCCGAGTGGAAGCAAGGCCCCTTTCGCAGCTTTGCAGCAGGAGGCAAGAAGACAGCAGCAGTTACATGCTGCCCATGTCTATCTTGTCCCCTCCTTATCTTTTCAACACACACAAACACACTCAGATTCAGACTCCCCAGAATGCACCCATGTAGCAGCCAGCAGCCGGAGTGGTAAGTGAAAGGATTCTTGCTGCTGATCCTGGGCAGCTGGTTCTCCCATCTGTCACTGCGGGAACTGGGAGAGGCAAGTTACAGCTGGGAACATCTGCTCCGGGCTCCAGCTGCAGCCACGGCAATCTAGCTAATGAGCTGCACATTATCCACCTACTACCTTTCCACCTGACCTCCACCCCATGCCTTCCACTTGGCTTCCCCATCATAGCTTCCTCTTAAGAACAGGCCCTGGGTGCCTTCATGGCCTGGACAACCCTTGCCCAATCTTTGAACTGCCTAACATAGAGCGAAAATATGTACCTCAGGTGTTATTGCCCCATGCCACCCAATCCTTAGTTTTTGTTTTTTTAGATTTTATTTATTTATTCATGAGACAGAGAGAGAGAGGGGCAGAGGGAGAAGCAGGCTCCATTCAGGGAGCCTGATGTGGGACTCAATCCGGGGACTCCAGGATTATGCCCTGGGCTGACTGCTGAGCCACCCAGGGATCCCCACCCCAATCCTTAGTTAATCGTTCTTTCTCTTGCCTTTTCCCAGATCTGAGAGTAGCAATGAAAGCCCTTGGAAAAGGAGACATTCTAAAGACCTCAGACTCCTCTATAAGCTAAGGGAGTTGCAACCAAAATATCAAGGGGGTATTTTATAGAATTTGAGAGCTCCTTTCTTATATTTATCTGGCAGAAAGAATATGTAAGAATGTCTGAGAAGTTGTTTTTTTTTTTGAGAAAGAATGAAATGGAACACTTGCCCTACCAGATTATCAGAACGGACAAT